ATATAAAAATGATTGCAACCGCTGGTTGCAACCACCTTTACGACCATTTTGTTTCCTTTTTTGGATTGCGACATGGAGCACTAGTTAGAATCATTGGACTGGTTGTTTCCGATTTTTGTCACGTGTCTTACTGTAAATCATTTCCGATTTATTTTCAAGTTTGATAAATAAAATACTTTATTCTTGGAGGTAAGCATTATTTTTTCATTATATAAAAGTTTTTGTATTAGAATTTGAAATTCAAAACATATCAATAAAAAAAATAAAGACGAAAAAATTTTAACATATTAAATATATAAAACTTCATGATGACATTAAATACTGAATTGATTCATGAATGTGAATGCTATTATTATTCAGCATTTCTCTGATATTCGATAAGTCGGACGCAAGCAATCAATTGTTTAAAGTACTTTATAGTATAAATAAGTCGGACGCAGCAATCAATTGTTTAAGTATAAATAAATGTCCGACTTATCGAGTTTAGATGCGTATCATCAATTAAAATTTTGGGGGATGGGGTGTTTAGATATGAAATCTGATTGGCTAATTTGAATTTAACATGTGTGAATCATTTTCACGCTTTGTGTGCGTGTGAAATTTGAAGATGTCCAAATTCAATTCTCTGTCAATTTGCTTAAATAATTTTTTTACGAATTAATATCGCGTAACATTATTTATTACTTGTTAAATATGATAAGTTTAAAGTCGTCAATACGTTCAATAAAGCCTAAATTTTTCTTGGAATTACAAAAAAGTTTTTCTGCCAGCACTATTAGAACTTCACCATATGATGATACCTATAAAAACATGAAACTTACGAAAAACACCAGAGTTATTTGTCAAGGTTTTACTGGAAAACAAGTAATTAATTACATTAGTTGATTTCTTTCTTCATATATATATATATTAACCAATTGATTTTGATAGGGAACTTTTCATTCACAACAAGCAATTGATTATGGAACCAATTTAGTTGGTGGCGTAGCACCTAAAAAAGGTGGCCAAGAACATTTAGGAAGACCCGTATTTAACACTATAGCTGAGGTTATTTTTCAGATTAGAAAAGAAGATATATTTGATCATTAATTATAATGAACGTATTTATGTGTGTTTATATGTTTTTTGATAGGCAGTTAATGAAGTTAAACCAGATGCTTCTGTAATTTATGTACCTCCACCTTTTGCAGCAATTGCTATTATAGATGCCATTAAGGCTGAAATTCCTCTGGTGGTAGCGATTACAGAAGGAATTCCACAGAAAGATATGGTTAAAGTATGCATCTAATAACTATAAGAATACTATTTTTCTTATTAAATATTTTTTATGTTTTTTTTTATAGGTAGTAAAAGCTTTAAAAAATCAAAATAAAACACGTCTTATTGGTCCTAATTGTCCCGGAATTATAGCACCAGGTGCTTGTAAAATCGGGATTATGCCTGGACATATCCACAAAAAAGGTGTTGTTGGAATTGTTTCAAGATCTGGTACTTTGACATATGAAGCAGTCAATCAAACTACTCAGGCGAATCTTGGTCAAACTTTATGTATTGGAATTGGCGGTGATCCATTCAATGGAACAAATTTTGTAGATTGTTTAAAATTGTTCTTGGAAGATGAACAAACAAAAGGTTTTATTTTTTTAAAAAAAATAAAATAATGAATAAATGAAATAGTAATAGCATTATTGTTGTTATTGTAATATAGGCATTATACTAATCGGAGAAATTGGCGGTATTGCTGAAGAGAATGCGGCAGAATTTTTAAAACAATATAATTTGACCCGATCTCAGCCAAAGCCTGTGGTTTCTTTCATTGCTGGTTTAACTGCGCCACCAGGACGTCGTATGGGCCATGCAGGGGCTATAATTGCTGGTGGTAAAGGTGCTGCAACTGATAAAATTAAAGCATTGGAAAGTGCTGGTGTTATTATTTCAAAAAGTCCTGCTAAACTCGGAGTTCATTTAAGAGAAGTTAGTAGTTAAAGTTTTTTGTAAATAATAATAATAATAATATTATTATTATTAATCATATTTTTTTTTTGGTAGGAAATGGAAAAGGAAGGCCTGATTTAAATATTATTCTTAACTTTTTAATAATATACAATATTTTTGTTTTTTATAAAATCAATTCATATAAGACGGTATCAAATCTATCAAATCAATTCTCTGTTTTACATCCTCTCTCCTTAAAAAATAAATATCCATCCACCAATAAAATTGCGAACTATAGATCACATGATGAGAAATAAGGAAACCGTGCGTTTTTATATATAAATGATCGACATACACTTACAATCTTTGTCTCTGACTTCCTTTTTTACCTCTAATCTTTCATTTTAAATGATTCATTATATTCAAAGTACATAAAAGTCTCAAAGTTTGATTCAACCAAGAATTAAAGAAGTAAATGAAGAAAGTTTCTTTTATGAAATATTTGATTCAGCTACTTCAGGTGCAGATATAGGAAGAACAGTTAGAGTTTCAGTTCGTGCCAATGATACAAATCCATGGAAGCCTGTAAAAGAAGGATTAGATGGCCGAATGATGCTAATGAAGTCACTTAAATTTTTTTCAAGTAAAATTTATGCTTGTTCCTGAAGAAACAACTCATCCATGGACTCCACCACCAAGTTTACCAAATGCCTTTGAAAAATTCACGAGTACTGAGGTTAAACTTCCTGCTCAAAAAAAAGACTCTATAATGAAATTATATTAATCACAGACCGTCTTTAATTCAATCTGAACTCAATTCAGAAGCAGCATGTACCTCCACCGTAACAGCTGCAAAATTCGTGACTATATTAAGTACCATGTTTGTTCAAAAACACGTTGTTTATATTCTGACACAAGATTGACGTCTGAAAAAGCTGGGTCTCTTTGAATTATTAAAGAATCTTTTGATTATTCATGTGATGGGCCGATTTTTCCAGAAGAACATCCACTTGCAACCAAAACCTGGACCTGTATTCATATTTCATGTGATTTTCCAATTGAATTGAATGGCTGTATTGTACTTCGAGAAAAAGTGGTAATGTGGTCAAGTCAGCAAGTCAATAAATATTCCTCAAGAATTTAAGGATAAAAAAAAACTTAAATTAGTACATCCTATGTGCGAAAGGCAGGAAAATCTTGTTTAAATGAACTCGTTGTTGTTAGACTTAACATGTGACTTTTGTTATGATTGGCCACATGAAATGTAAAACAAAATCTCTCAATTTTTTCTGTATTTTAACAAAATCGATATTTGCTACTATGTAATCATTAGCATTAGGAATAATCAGACCAAAAAATTCCTCAAAATCTCTTTAAACACAAACAAATTTTATAATTATATATTTGTTTTTTCTTCTTTTTTATTTTCCTAATATCTTTACTAGTAATCTCTGATAACGCTCCTTCGGATTGAACAAAATCTAAATCGTAAATTTCTTCACCAAATTTTTTCTTAAATTTAGACAATTGTCCACTTTCATCGCTCAAATGACCTGAAAATGTTTCAGGGTTCCACAATGAATGATTACGAGTATCTCGTATTAATTTGATATTATTTACTTTTCAAATCAACATTTTTTTTACCTTTGATCATGAATTATCATCCATTATACAATACTGTATATATATATCTGACATTTCCTATAAATAAATAAATTGGTAGTATGAATATGAATACATGAATTTTGAAAATAAAAATAAATGCAAATTAAATGTGTAAATACAGTGTGTTGCAAAAAAAAAAACGGAAAATTTTATGTGAACTAAAAACGTGTATAGCGTCCCTAAATTAAGCCTAATTCGTGCCGTATAAAAAATCAAGACGAGCTTATATTTCAAAAATAAATATTGAGATCTTTTATAATTGATAATCTTTTTTGCTTTTTGAGAAAATTAAATATATAATGCCTACTTCAAGACAAGAAACCCGACGTCAAGCTATATTACATTTATGGAATAACGATGTATGCGAGCCCAAAGAAATAAATAAGCGTACAAAATTTCCTCTTTCTACCGTCTATGATAACATAAAAAAATTAAAAAACAACTGGCAATTTGGATCATGTTAGAGGAAATGGCCGCTAAAAAAAAATTACTGCGGAAGCATCGAAAGCTTTGGGGCAATATATACGCAGAGATTCATCAATTTCGACTAGAACATTGGCAACAAAATTATCGGTAAATCATGTGCAAGTATCTTATTCAACTATCTCTAGACATATACACGAAAAAGGGTATAAAAAAGCCCTGTCAATGGCTACACCAATGTTGACAATGTCTCATAAAGAAAACCGTGTACAATGGGCCCAATGACATCTTAATGACGATTGGAATAAAACATTATTTACCGATGAGACATCCTTTTTATTATTTAGAAATACTGTAGAACGTTGGTATAAGGATAAAAGGCCAGTTCGAAGGATTCCAAAGGATCGTACTAAAATTCACGCGTGGGGTGGTTTTTGTGTAGAAGGCAAAACAAGCCTTTTTTGTTTTAAACAAATTATGGATGCGTCGTTTTATGTGTAAATACTTAGCAGACACGTTTCAGAAATAGAAGAAATGCTTGGGGATGAATGGAGGTTTCAGCAAGACAATGACCCTAAGCATACAAGTCGTCTTGCAACGTCTTTTCTTGCAGAAAATGTACCAAATGTTATAGACTGGCCTTCGAACAGCCCAACTTTAAATCCGATAGAAAATCTGTGGAGTGTTGTTAAAAGAAACGTTGAGAAAAGGATGCCACAAAATTGTGAAGAATTAGAACCGATTTATGATTAACGAATGGCGAGGTATTCCACATAATGTCCTAATTAATTTAGTAAATTCTATGCGATGCCGATGTGAGCTTATTATACAAAATAATGGAGAACGTATACCATATTAATTTTTTATTAATAAAAACTACATTTTTTAGGCTTTTAAAAGAGATATTTTTTGTATCATTTGGGATGACTGTTTTGTTGTAATAACCAAATATATAATCCCGGGGGGTTTTTTTTTGCAACACACTATATGTAAATAAATAAAATCGCACTCGTAAATAAGCTAAAGAAGAAATTACATTATAATAAATAATTCCAATAACAAAATTTCAAATATAATTTTCCAATAATATAATATAATAAATAATGTACTTAGATGTAATCCTGAAGACTAAATTCTACTTTTCGCTCTACAAATCCTCCTCTTTTGATGTATCGTTCAATGGTAGGATAAATAACAAATGATGTAGCCCATAAATCTGCCCAGAAAAGTAAAAGCGAAATTGGGTTGACCTCCTCTTGTAACGAATAAAATAAAACATAGAAATTAAACCCAGTTAAAATTTCACCTATTATAGCTCCAAATATTGTACCCTTTAAACCACCAAGACAACACCCTAATACTAAATCAACAACTAAAACTGTAGTATATGCGTAGCTTTTTTTTTTATCGCAATTACTAAACAATAAATATAAATTGATAAAGCTAATAAACTATATATCGTGAGAATAAAATAGATGCACGTATCATTATTTGATTCAAGCATAAGGAGAATTGCTACTGTAGTAAAAATGAAGATTTCCAATAAAATTAAAAGGGGTATTGTAACACTGTTGAAACTTTCTGCCGCATATAAGAGCAAAGGTAGGAAAATTATAAAGACTAATGCTGTGAACATTACAAAGGTTATATAGGCTGTTGCTGATCCACTACCAACAATTGAAAATAAGATTATATTACATATGAATATTGAACAACTGAAGGCTATATCAACTATTGTGAGCTTGGTGAAGCCTTGTGTCATATAAAAGAATAGAGGTGGGAAAATAAATATTGTGAATATTCCCAAAATTGTAGCTATTATCATTCTGAGATTTTTAAATTGATTTATCGGGATAAGTGCAATTAAAAGAATTACGGTGACAACTACGTAGGGAATGTATTTATTTATTTCGAAATTAAACATATCAGAAAGTGGTAATCTTGCTGATACGACAGGGAATAAACAAGTCAGGAAAAACAGAAAT